CGACCTCTCGCGCCCGGCCTTAATCGAGGCCATGGTGCAGCGTGAGAGGAACTGGGAAGCTATCTCCTCCTTCTGCGAAGCAGTTATGCTCGCAAAGGAGGAGGCGGAGCGCGTGAGGGAACTATCCTCCTCGCGCCCCAGCCGCCGCAGAAGGCGACATTCCGGACGTCGGGGATCGAGGGATGATCTCCGGCCACCGTAAGCGCGGGTCTGCGGACGGCGAGTAAGGGTAGCTCGCCGCCCGACCAGAACTGGACCCGAGCGTACGGCGCGTAGCGTTCCACGCGCGCCTCAAAGAGCCAATAGACCACCACAGTCGGGGCCCTAAAGGGCTGATGTTTAGCCGGGGCTGCGGGGTAAGCGCAATGAGGCACCGCGACCTCGGCCCAGAGCAGAAGAAGGAACGGGGGGGTTTTTAGTCAGTAAGAGTCTGACACTCTCTCTCGCCTTACCCTGGGCGGGAGAAGTCATTGGATGATTTTCCCCTGACAAAAAAAAAAAAAAAAAAAAAAAAAGGCCATAAGTACATATAATTGTGTTATTATTATTGTTTTGATGTTGACTGAATAATTGAAAAGTGTATAATCTTGATTAATGACATTTAGTTTTATTTTATTTTATTTTTTATTTTTTATACTTTTCTTTAATTTGATTTTGTTATTTTGGTGTGATTCTATTTTAATTTGATTCTGATTATTTTGATTCGATTGTGATGACTTGATTTGATTTGACTTTGCCTTTTATTTACATATTTTATTTTTATTTTATTTTGACCTCAATTATATTTATTTTGATTGTAATAATTTAATTTTGACTTTTATATGTTTAATTTAAATTCGATTATATGTTACATTTTAATTATTAGAAATTTGATGATAAAATGTGAACTTTATTGAAAAAATATTAACTTCATTTTATTAAATGTTGCTGTGCCCTTACGGGGTCCATAAATGTACCTACTTAGCTTTAAGCGTATTGTAACACCCTATTTACTTTATGGAATGCAAATAAATGAATATGAATATGAATATGAATACCTTACGGGGCAACGCTGATCGCTTACCATCAGGTAATACGTTTGCTCGTTTGCCGACCTATCACATAAAAAAAAACTTACCAGAATCTCCCTGCACCGCTTCCACTGACCATTAGAATCGTTGACTGCAGGAATGTTTCAAACCAGTTGGACACTTTGTGAGGGAAAATCATCAAATGGCTTCTCTCGCCCAGGGTGACTGAGGCGGAAGGCAGTGTCAGACTCTTACTGATTAAAAACCTTCCTCTTCTCCTACTCCTGCTTAAGCCGAGGTGACTTATTGCGCTTGCCCCGCAACCCCAGCCAGTTGGTTGCGGTTCGAGATTTTAACACTCCGTAAGTAGGTGCGCTTCTCATGCATGAGGGTGTTGGTTCGAAACTTGGCAAGTACCAATGTGACTTTTTCCGAGTTATATGTACTTTCTATGATTATTTAGACACCACTGACATACGGTGAAGGTAAACATTGTGAGGAAACCTGAACTTATAATTTCTAATTATGAGTTTGAAATCGCCAACCCGCGAGCAAGCGTGGTGATCAATGCTCTAACCTTCTCCGTATGAGAAGAGGCCTTTACTCAGCAGTGGGCACTTATAGGCTGATGATGATGAAGTAGGTAATGTGTATCTTCTAAAATTATTTGTATACCTGCGGTGCTTTTTGGTCGACCTACATTTCCAAATGTTTGTCTCCACCATACTCACAGGGTTGCAGGGCAAGCGTAATGAGGCACTTCGGTCTTGGCCTAGAGAAGGAGAAGGAACGGAGGGTTTTTAGTCAGTAAGAGTCTGACACTTCCTTTCGCGTCAACCTGGGCGGGAGAAGTCATTAGATGATTAATTCCTGACAAAGAAAATCGTTGTAGACACAACTGTTTTCGCGAAACTGTCAGCCTCGCTTTTTATTCAAACCTTCAAAAAAAAAAAAATCATATATGTAGTTTTTTGTCAAACTCCACAATAGGATATTCTCATGTATCGTAAATACGTTTACATAAAAATTCACATCCAGATCCGAAACAACAATTTGTTGAACCCGCGACACGTTGCACAGTAGCCAGCCCCGCCACTGCGCCTACCATTAAAAGCCCAACAATCCGCTCGACTCTATTGGTGTTGAGGGAGTCCATAGGCGACGCTGATTGCTTACCATCAGGTACCGTGTTCGCTTCACCGGATAAATAATAATACGCCGCATAAAGCTAAGTTCATGCGTGGCCAGTTTTTGTCTTAATTTTTGACCATTATGTAGGTACAATTTTATCTTATTTTTTTTAATATTTTAGCTGATCGCTGACCATTAGGTGGCCAGTATGCTCGTTCCAATCCTATTACATAATACCTGAGCTACCTATATTAAGGTAAGTACAACTTTGTAAACTTATTTATTGATCGATCTAAGCAAAAACAAAAACTATTCTAAGAATGTAAAAACAAATCGTTAATAATTGTTCCACACATGTAGGTATAAATAAAAAGAACTGGCCAGTACTTATTTGAAACTTGAAACGTACTCAGTGGCATTATAGCACCAAAGACGTTTGTACTTAGAACTAAACTCGTGTGCATTCCTAACGTTAGCAAATATCTTCGTGTTACGGTAAGTTTTTATTTAATTTGCTATTTAAATACGTCGACTATTGGTCGAGATTTGATCGTACTTATTTTACATTAGATTAGATTAAAATCCATAGAACTTGTTCCATTTTTAAAATTCCACAATTCCTACCTTCCTGATTGGTTAACCCGCGCTAGTGTCCAATTGGGTAGTTTCTTATAAGTTGAAAATATATTATTTTGACCATACTTATATCAATATACTAATATTATAAAGAGGTAAACATTTGTAAATTTGTGTGTAAGTGGTAATCTCTGGAACCGCTCTGGTCAGATTGATAGCTACAATGGTATGTTTGTGCTACGAGTATAAGCTAAAAATTATAGTTGATTAGCGCATTTTAGTGTAGTAGCTATCGCTTTACATAGCAGCCGACAGAAGCCAGTTAATTATTAATACTTAATTTAAGATATTTTCTAACTAATTTTAAAGAAATAAATTCCTTTGCTAATAACGCATTATGAAGTCACATCTGGCGATTTCACACCATGTTTCGCACAAAACTAATAGAAAAGTATCGTTTATGACATTTCAATATAGGAATTTTCTAGGATATAGGTAGTATATGGATTACCTGATGGTAAGCAATCGGTGCCGCCCATGGACACCCGCAACATCAGAGGAGTTACGAGTGCGTTACCGACCTTTTACAGGACAAGGGTAAGGATTGGCAAGGGATGGGAAGATGGGGAGGGATTGGGCGTCGGGTAAACTCACTCACACGACGAAACACAACGACGGCTTGTTGTTTCACGTCGGTTTTCTGTGAGGCCGTGGTATCACTCCGGTCGAGCCGACCCATTCGTGCCGAAGCTTGACTCTCCCACACTTATTGAATTTGAATAGATACTTGGAATCGATCGGTGTTTTACATTATGATCATTTGGATGAACCTGTTTTTAACACAGTTTCTCAAGTTTATATGTATTCCGTTACCTTCAATTCGATGTTTGTATCTTTTTATCTTTTTTCTAACAGACATATTCAGTGTCGTTGTCATACATGGTCATACAATTCAATGATAAATTAGGTAAAGTCTTATTCACACGATACTAATTTTTTGGTCATACTAAATCCTAATATTTAATATTATAAATTTGAAAGATATGGATTAAGATTAAGTATGTTTGTTATTTTCTTACGCTACAATGTAAACTAATTTGGTTGTAATTTGATTTTTAGATAGTGGTTATCCAAGATTAACATCTAGGCTTGCTTTATAACAATATACCACGCGGGCGAGGCCGCATCCGGAAGCTAGTTAATAATAAAAAATCAATACAATATTTACATCTTTTTTGTTTAGTCTGCGAGTTCAATTATTGCTTTAATTATACGCAACAGGCCAGAAACTTCTATTTGTAAATTAGGCTTCTTTTGTTGAGACGAGAGAACTCATATGATGATTCTCCCGTCCTGGGTGAGGCAAGAGGGAGTGTCAGACTCTTACTGACTAAAAACCATTCTTTCCTTCCTCTTCTCCGAAGGATACATTATTGAGCTTGTATCCGTAATCCTGGCTGTGAAGGTCGGAAGGAAGGTCTTAATTATTGCTCAAAGTACTACAAGGTTGGGAAGCATTGTCCTTTCGACCCTAAATCGATTTAAAAATAAATAAATAAAGTTGTACTTAAGAATTATATCTGTAATTATTATGACCACGTTGTGACTTACAAAGTTAACCAACCATTAAATTAGTTCTTAGTTATTGTTCAATAGAAGTAGTTATTGTTGAATTTATGTGGTGATGATATAGCAAAATCAACCTTAGGGCCTTGGAAAAAACTAATATAATAATAATAATAATAAATGGTTTATTGTTTCTCTTTGTACATAGTCGTGCAACACAAATTTGTTAAAAGCAAAACTACGTGTGTTTAAGTCATAAGAAACGTTTCAACATTTTGAATGCAATATTATAAATACGAAAGTTTCTCCGTCTGTCTGTCTTTTCTTCACACGTAAAGTACTGAACCTATTTGTGTGAAATTTGGTGCAGACATAGTTTGACACTTGAGAAAGGACATAGGATAGTTTTTAAACCAAAAATCTGCGGGGAGTCACTTAGTGACTCCGAGTTTGTGAACAAATTCGTGGGCAAAAGCTAGTATTATATAATTGAAATTATTTTGTATATTGCTCAGTATAAAAATATGTATATGAGCAATTTCAATCTTTATTCACATGCAATTTAAGTTTTATTTTCCCGTACCACACTATACCAACGAGTTCATAATATGTTTTCGTGGTACCAAACCTTGATAAATACAATTTAATTGCAAACAATACATTTATTGTTATAGATTTTGCTGACAGAACTGAAATTTCGTAACAGTCAACAACGCACCGGACACGAGCATGGTTGCACAAGACTAAACCTTACATTGGCATAGTAAATTGATTATTACGTCATATCTTTACAAATACATTATCAATTCAGATATCAGTTATACCATACCAATCTCAGATAGTACGACATTGAACCGCGAACGAACAAAATGTGGCCACTCATAATAATCTTATTTTCGAATATTTTAATAGCAACGTCAACAAACTATGAAAAAGTGCTCAAAGAAAGAAGCAATCTTATAGAAAAGGAACTAAAAATGATGGTAGGCCACTCAATCGAACTAAGTGATAGTGAATTGAAAGCTAACGAAATAATAATGAACCTTAAACGTGAAGAAATAGAAAACGGTTTTGTGTATCCTAAGAATTATAATCTATCGAAGCATTTCTTCGAATATAAGGAGCTGGTGAAGGATACTAAATTGTACAAGGTGCTGAAGAGTATGCCTAAGGGTGCAGTTCTCCATGGACACGACACAGCTATTCTTGGTCCAGATTACGTGCTTGAATTAACTTACGATGACAACCTGTGGATATGTTTCGACGAAGATGAATCGGACGTATCTTTTATTTTTTCCAAACACAGTCCAACTGGATTCTGTGAAACCGAATGGGAAAAAGCAAATGATATAAGAAGGTATAATAATGTTACAGAATTCGATGCAACGCTCCGAAAATTCTTCACCCTTGTGATTGATAATCCCCAAGAAGTTTACACCGATGTGAATACAGTTTGGGAAGAATTCCAGAAGTATTTTATTCGAACAAGCCCTCTGTTCACTTATAAACCAGTATGGGAGAAGTATTATTACAACACATTACTCGCTTTAAGAAATGACAACATCATGTACCTTGAGATCAGAAGTGTTTTGCCACCATTGTACGATTTGAAAGGTAACATTTATAACTCTGTAGAAACAGCTAAAAGTTACAAGAAAGTGACGGAAAAATTCAAGAAAGATTATCCAGATTTCTTCGGTGCAAAATTGATTTATGCACCCCTCAAATTAGTCGATAGAGAAACTTTAAGAAGTTACATTAAAATAGCCAGAGAAATTCATGAGCTGATGCCTGAATTCCTTGTGGGTTTTGACTTAGTAGGTCAAGAGGATTTGGGAGTGCCGTTAAAGGAATTCCTTCCTGATCTAGCAAATATTGGTCTAGACTTGTATTTGCATGCAGGAGAAACGAACTGGTACGGTACAAGTTCAGATGAGAACTTATTTGATGCTATTGCTCTTGGAACGAAGAGGATTGGACATGCATTTGCTTTGGTGAAGCATCCTTTACTAATGGAGGAAGTTAAAAAGAGAAAGATAGCTTTAGAAGTCAACGTTGTGTCAAATGTTGTTTTGAAGTTAGTTGATGATGTTAGAAACCATCCATTAGCTACGTATTTGAGTCAAGATATGCCTGTAGTTCTATCGAGCGACGATCCAGGAGCTTGGGAAGCTGAACCTCTGACTCATGATTTTTACGTCACCTTCGTAGGTGTTTCAAGTAGACATGCAGATCTTAAAATGTTAAAGCAGTTGGCTTTGAATTCTCTTTACTATAGCTCTTATAATGAAAAGGATAAATTGGTACATGAATTTCAAATCCGTTGGACGAAGTTTATTGATTCGATTGTTAAAGATAAATGGGATCATATTTAGAATCTCACCGTTTCTGTGCTATCTGTATCTGTTGTATTTTATATTGTTGATTAAATTATATTAATTTGTTTTATATGTGGTTTTGTTTATTATTCTGTGGAAAATGTAGGGAGAGTTGTGATACAAGTGATAAGAGACCATTCAATTCATTTTCCTATTTGTACCCCTTAACAACTTCAGATAGAAGTGTTTTTAGCTAACATAACAACTTCTTTAATTAATAGTTAGGATACAGAACTACTAACTAGAGTTATTGTAAAATCTATTTTACACAGAACGAGTCTATCTGGTATAGACTAGATTCCAAACATATTATTTCGAATTTGGAGTTATAGATCATTTTGTTTTACTAAGAATTCGAAAATTAGGACTAATCTTAGAAAAAAAGCAGGCGGTGCGTGTGAGAGACTATCCTCGTCGCGTTCCAGCCCGTGCTCGAGGAGACGCGGGTCACGGAGTCCATTCAGCGGATGGGAACATGGGTAAGTCGCTCGACCGGAAGCAGATCCAATCGTCAAAGAGTCATCAGACCACCACAAACAGAGCCCAAAGAGACCGATGCTCATTCAGGGTTGCTGGTCAAACGCAACAAAACACTGCGGCTTCGGCCTGGAACAGAAAAAGGAACGGAAAAGTTTTAATTCGGTAAGAGTCTGACACTCCCTCACACTTTATCCAGCAAGGAAGAAGTGATTTGATGATTTCCCCCCTCAAAATAGAAAAATTCTTTGAAGTTGTGGTAAGTAGGTATCTGAGATGCTTACTCAAAGTTTAGTTATTAAACTTCTTAATTATCAGTTAAATTAATTATTTATTAGATTTATTACCTTGTTCCTCTTAGTAACAAGTAAATTCGCGGGAAATACCTAGATATTTTTTATATAGTAGGTACATGATGTTTTATAGATAATTACTTATCAACTAAATACACATCAGGTCATCCATCTTATCACGTTTTAAGGCTTATAACAATATAAATTTTATGGGATAGTACCGCAAACGGATTATCTTATGGTAAGCAATCGGTGCCCATGGACATGTTACACATCATCATCTTATTAGAGCTTACTGCTGAGCAAAGGCCTCTTCTTACACGGAGAAGGTTTGAGCATTAATCATCACGCTTGCTTAAGGCGGATTTGCGACTTCAATCATATAATTAGAAATGAAAAGTCCAGGTTTCCTCACGATGTTTTCCTTAATATGTAAGTAGTGTCTTAATAATCATATAAAGTACATATCATTCGGAAAAAGACACATTGGTACTTGCCAGGTTTCAAAATCTCATGACCACCGCGACACAGATAACTTACAAGTGCCTTGCCATTTAAGAGTTTGGGATTAGAGGATTAGGAATTTGGGGAAATACATATTAAAATAAAAAAACATATGTATTGATACACACTATATTTTTGTAAAATATCGTGCAGCATGTTGTGGGATGTAATTTCCGAGCGAAACAACTCTTTGTGGGGTACACAAATTAATGAATAGTAACTATCGCGTGACATACTGAATGTATTAAAAATAATGACTTACTCACTTAGCTCTACTAGTTTCAAGGCACATCGGGACTCTTATTCACGGGCAGCGTGCGCATCGCTGCGACTTGTAACTAGCTATTCTCAGTTAATTCATGTGAATAAAGCCTTAATTTTAAAAGATTTGCAATTTTTTTGTGTATTTGTTAACACACCCACGATACAGGAGGAAATACCATAGAGGAGCAACTTTATTTTTTGAAAAAAAAACCTTAAGTGTGGGAGAGCCATGCTTCGGCACGAATGGGTCGGCTCAACCGGGGTGATACCACGGCTTCACAGAAAACCGGCGTGAAATAACAACAGCATTGTGATTCGCCGTGTGAGTGAGGTTAAGGAGGCCCCCTTCCCCCTGGTTCCTTCCCCTCTCCCAATCCCTCCTCAATCCCTAAATCTCCAAATCCCTAAAAGGTCGGCAACGCACTCGTAACTCCTCCGTAGCGAGTGTCCATGGGCGGCGCTGATTGCTTACCATCAGGTAATCCGTCTGCTCATTTGTCGACCTATTACATAAAAAAAAACCTGGCATGGGAGTGCTTATTTTAGTACTGTAATTTTCTGATTAAAATTTGACCCTATTTTTAAAACTGCTTACTCAACAGTACGTTGTGTCCGATAAAACAGGTGAATAACATGATACCAACTAAATAATTACTTATCTTAAGCCTATTGCGTCGCCTTTATTAAATTATTAATTCATAATCTTTTCACACATTTATGGCGGGGCGATCGAGAAACTATAACAACCTTTTTGGCCGATTTTTTTTCTTGGTTTTTACACGCTTTTTCTTGTTCTTGGACTGTTTCCTGACGTAGGTTTGCTGGAAGTGGTCGTAATTATATTTATTTATTTAAACTTTATGCAACACAACATTACATAGGCGGACTTAATGTAGGCATTCTCACCAGTCAACCTTAGGGTGATGCAGAGAGAGTGTGGTAGGTGCAACAATTATATGTGTTTGCGAATCAAAAAGATATAAGTAGGTGAATACAACTTGTTTTTGATGGAAGTCATCCGAATAAGTTTCTAGCCCTTAGTGGGTCAGAAGGAGTGTCGGACTGCTTCTTACCCGCTTGGAAACCAAGTCAAGGTAGACAGGCCGAGCAGGGTCGAGCGACATGATTTCGCTTACACCCGGCAACGGTTATCAACGTAGGTTTCATGACAATTTGAAATCTTTTATTTCTAAATACGAGTATCAAGCAAGCTAAATCTAACAGAATTAATTTAAAAATAAAACCGCTATTTATATTTTAAATGTCAAATAGTAAAAAAAAAAACTAGAAAGAGAAAGCTGTAGCTAATGGGGTTACACGGCCTATAATTATATGTACACAGACCGACTAGTTTCAAACAAAGTCAGGGGCTTATAATCAGAAAAAAATAATAAAACAATCAGGTGGTTGATTGTTTTTATCATTAAATTATTTGATTTCGGCAAATGAATCATACTTCGTTATTTTTTATTAATAATGTAAGAAATAAAATTTAGATATAATTATAATAGGTCTTTACCTATGAAATTGCCGTTCTGCAGTACTGGCCATTTCAAATCAAAATAGTTTTTCTTAGGCTAATGCTAATTAATTTTGTTTTAAAAACATGGGATTCTTTTTCCAAAAGTAATCATTTGTTTATTGATTAGTGTTACATTTTCATCGCATTTCAAATCAAAAAGTTCGTTTAAATTTTTTCACGAAAACGGCAATTTCATAGGTAAATACCTATTATTAGCGGTGGTAGTATGAAGTACACATTCTTATTAATGACCTTTAATTATACTTCTACATTACTTTATTTGTTTTTATCTTAATTGATAACTTGGCAACATGTTTATCATTATATTATCATCATCGGATCATCAAACTTACAATATGTTGATACGTAGTTATTGATAAAAAATAATTAATTGTTTCTTACAGCGATACGTAGTAAATACTTTTTAGAACTAGAATAGTTTTTGTTGGTGTGTCTGAATGTCTGTTGCGCAACGAGAAAAAATTTTGAATAAAATATATCGCTTGGAACTTGACGAGTAAAATGTAGATTATCATAAAATCGGCCATCCAGTAATTAATACCATTACCGTTGAAAGTGCGGAAAGAACATTCAAATACCACATCATCATCATCAACTTGACTTCTCACCGCTGAGCAAATGCCTCTTGACTTCTCATACGGAGAAGGTTAGAGCATTAACCACCACGCTTGCACCACGTTTACCTTCACCTTATGTCAGTGGTGTCTAAATAATCATAGAAAGTACATATAACTTGGAAAAAGTGCATTGGTAATTGCCGGGATTCCAACCCGGTTGTCCTCATGCATAAGAAGCGGGCTCCTTAACGTCCGGGCCACCACGACCTTCTCAAATACCACGATACACTTAATTTTATAGAATAAATCTTCAAACACACAGAAACAAGATTAGTAAGTATTTACTAATCCGGATTTTAAGGAACCCTAACCGCTTACAACCTTTAACAGTTACAAGTGCAAGCCTTTTGGGAGATTTGAGGATTGCCGATAGGAGAGGGAATGGATTGGGCCTACGGTAACCTCACTCACACAGCGCAACACAACACAAATTTTGCTTCTCGTCAGTTTTCTGCGACACTGTGGTTTCACGCCAGTTAAGCTGGTCAGTTCGTGGTGCCGAAGCATGTCTCACCCACACTAACGAACCGGTTGCCGTGGCTACCTTCAACAATTAATAATAATTGATATCTCATTCAACAGAAACGTGTAGGTAGTTTGATAAGAGACTTTTCGGAAGATCGGATAGATTTCCAATAATTTTGTTTTATCTTTATTAAGTAGATATGCAAACCTTATATCTTAATAATAATATTTTATTTTAATCTACCAGCTGTCGTATTAAACTTCATAACTTCTTTGTATCATTAATAATATCATGCGATTTTGTGTTTGAAACAAGCCGACTTCACGTGTGGAGGAGCCATGGCTCAGCACGAATGGGCTGTATACCCCGATCTCACAAAAAAACTGACATGAAACAAATTACAGCGTTGTGTTTCATCGCGTGAATGAGGTTACCGGAGGCCCAATCATTCTTTTCCATTCCCCAAATCAATCAATCCACAGATCCCTTATCTACCCTCAAAAATCTCTTACCACAGATACCATTGTTCTGGTGTTGGAAACGTCCGTTAATAATCCGAAATAAGCGGTGCCGATTGCTGATCATTCGGAGATCCGTCTGCTCGTTTTCCCATTAAAATTTGCAGCTCGTGGAAACTGGAATCTAAAGAAAGACTAATCAGAAAATACTTTATGGATACTAGCTATTGTTTATCAACCAGAAGGTATATAAATAGAGATGAAGGAATGGTTTCCCTTTAAATCTGTTGTAAGCAAGAACTGGAGGCAGAAAGAAATTTACATCTTTGAAGTAAATATGGTAATCCGCATATTGCCAGACCTTTTGTATCAGGTCCATATTTCAAAAAGGCGCAATTG